TAGCTTGCGAAATCACCTTCACATTTCCCTTTATCCAAAAATGAAGGTTTGAGCAGCCGGTGTTTATTAGTTTTAGTTCATCACCAGATCTCATCCGTCTGATTGAGACTGTAGCGCATTGCCATACTAACTCAAGTCAAAAGAAAAGGGGGCATTACTGTCTCACTTATTAATCGATTCTTATGCGTTACACAAAACCAATGATGCGGAGATCGTAAGTGATGATAAGATAAAAGAATTCTCAAGCAGGGTCGATAGACATCTTATCTTGTCAAGACGTCAAAACGCCCTTGGTCTTTCCTGGGGATATATCACCTGATTTTTCAACTCACCACCGTATTCGCCGTGTCTTTTACTCACACAGGTTTTCAGGTTCTCACTCCGGCGCTTAACCTCATTAAGCCCAGTCCAATTAGAGGAGGCCCGCGATATAGATGAAGAAGATCACAACATCTGTAGACGGACTACTGGATACGCGGGTCAGTGTTTTGTAGTGGTAAACGGTAACCTGAGCAACGAGGGGGCAAGGTCACCCTTAGTAATAACTCAGAGAATCTATATAGTAAACCATAACAGCAGCAGTCGACCCAAAACGAGAAAATACACGCACGACAATTTGAGTCTACAAGAAAGGGGGGAGAGAGAGGGAGTGAGCATTTGGTCATAGCATGACGTGCCAAATGATCAAGAGCAGTGCAAAACCTGAATATTCGTGCCCTGTTCCAACTGTTTTTCCAACCCCCTCCATTATTACAATATGATCTTCATTTCTACTCTGCGAGTCGAGCCCGTTCAGGGAAGAATCGATATCAGCGATTTCAAGAACGTGATCGCATAACTAATCCTCCCTCAACAGTCCTTGCCCACTGGATCTGGCCTCACTGCTTACGAGATAGCCCCAAAGGAAAGGACATGATATCGATTGCAAGAACAAGACGCGCACTCGTCTTCACTCGTCTTTCTTGGGTATGATTGAGAGCGCGATCTTCTCTCCAACCTGTACTAGCTGACTCTACCCAGAAGTTTGAAGGTTTCGTCTCTACAAGAGCAAACTAGTGCTTGCAGGAATATAATATCTGCAATGATGAGGAGGCGTTTTTAGAGTTTCGCCTGACTTTCACCTTTCAGTCTCTCCCCTTGCTACAACAGGCCAGGTATCCCCGAGAGAAGTTGACGTCAAGCGTACGGCAGTTCCACACGCTCCCTCTCTCATTAAAAGTTTCCCACTTTTGTCTCTTGACACACTGCTCACTTCCTTCACAATGTCTTTCTTCCTCACTCTTTTATTGTAACCAAAGTGGGCTTAGGGTCCCATCAATCTCACACTAGTTGACCTGAGCGCGCGCTCGGAGCCTTTCGCTCAGAAGAGAGCACAGCGTCAACTAACAAAGACGCAAAGTCCCTTTTCAGTGTTCTGCACAAATTGCAGGTTGATGACGACTACCTAGTGGGGCCTGAATCCTGCTGAAGTGGCTGATGTCTACCATGGTTACTTCGCGCACCGCCCTCTCTCCGCCAGTCGAGCCCCGTCACCTTAGTCATATGTAAATTACTTCAGACCTTTGTTGCCCTCTGTGTCTCTTCCCTCTCACTCTTAGCATCCCCGTCTCGTGTTCTCCCTCTCTCTTGAGTGCTCAACCCTTCCTTTTTCGTAGTCCAGCAATTGCCCGCTTCTCTCTCTGAGGATTGCTGACACGTGTTGATCTCTGGGCCTCTCCACTCTCTCGTCCTTGAGCATGATTGTCACAGCCGTCACCGTCACTTCTCTCTCTGCCTCTCTCCGTGAAGTGGCTTCAAGTCCCTTTTCCACAGACTCAGCAGGTAGGTGTTCCCGTCGCCGCCGCTCCAGACCATCCAAGACCAGGCCTCTGCCGCATTCTTTTCACACTTAATTTCTAGCGACCTTGGTCTCTTTGTCGTGAATAGGCCTCTGGGCCGCTCTCAACGGGCTCAGTCGGTGGGTGGTCCCTTTGCCATTGGCCCCATCCGTGCGAAGACTGATCCGCCTTTGCGTCACTTATCTCAGACTCTCCTTCGAAATCCCGATCGACGCGCTGCACCTCTCTGGTTGTGGTCCCAGTTGACGAGTCATCCTCATGGGGTAGGTGACTGTCACTCGCATACCTACGGTCACTCCGTCTCGCCTGCACCTTCGCTCTGCCCTGTTGCGAGCCTCTGTGATAGCCGCCTATAGACCCTCGTCTCTCTTCATTTCCTGCTCCTGGTGACCACACACGTTAATTCTTAACCTCACTTCCCCCGTAGGCTTCCCGTAGGACAAAATAGTTTCAACCAAGGTACCCTTCTCATCCTCGTGCTCCCACATCCAGGAGTACCTCATGTACCTTGGCCTATAGCCACGCAGGCCATTTCGGTCCGCCATAGTTATCTTTTTTTCTTTTTTTTTTACAATAGCCAACGCCCGAGACCGCTGTCTACCCGCACTCCATCAACACGCTCAAGGCACTTGGCACAAGACTCCAAGTCGACCGCGGCGCTTTCCTGCGCGGCTACCCTGTCCTCGGATCAGACTGGGTTGGCCAGCTTTGTGTAGCACAATAACCCCTCCCCTTATAGGGTTGTCGTGCGTAGGACTACCTGCGTTTTAAACGAGACACTCATAATATTTTCAGATTAATGGAAATAGCAAATAAAATAAATTAAAATAAATTGAAATAAAATGAAAACGGGAGGCTAAACCTCAACGGTCATAACACGAGCAGCGCACCTCGCTGCTATCCACTAGTCCTTTCACTTTCGGCATACGACGCCCGCAGACTCGTCGCAGTGGTCCCATAATAGGGTATCGACGAGCGTGCTTCTCCCTTCAAAACACGTCATCGGCCCATTCTCGTTGGGTACTCATGTCCGATGGCAAGGAGGGGGCTTATGACCTTCCACGGGGGTGATAAGCCTCCTACCGAAGCGGTCGCGGGTTGCCCCTCTTTTGGGGACCTACTGCACGACGCTCAGCGGGACAGTTCATTCACAGGTGATACACGAAGGGACGACTGATCTAGACCGCCAAGCTGCAATCGGAGTTCAAACTGAAACGTTAGCCTCCAGCAAAATGACAGAAGGGAAATTAAGTAAAAGAAGTCAATAATAATAATAACAATAATGATAACAATAGTAATAATCTACGTTGCATAGAGTACACGTACGGGGCATTTCCGTACGAAACGTACAGGTAATATCTGTACGGGATCTGTACGGGAACCTGTACGGAAACCTGTACGTCTTGTACGCCCCCCTACGATAAAGCAAAAA